TCTGAGGTCCCGTCTGATGAGTACATCTCCACAGTTCCTCCTGAGCTTGTTCCATCTTCTCCTCCTGCTTCACCTCTGGCTGCTACTCCTCCTTCGGTTTATTCTCCTTTTCCATTGCTAGTTTATTCTCGTCGCAAGGCTCCTCCTCTACCAGTTGTCTCTGCCTCTGCTGCTAATCCTCCTGCTTCTAACAACTCTAATTCTGCTGCACACCGATATCCTACTCGAGCACGTCATCCTCTAAACAAGTTGGGTTGGTCTAACACATGTTTTTTCTGCTTCCTATCGTACTTTTTTGTCTACTATTCACTCTTTTTAGAACCTCAGTCTTACAAGGAGGCCTGTCAGGATCCTCATTGGGTCCAAGCAATGGAGGATGAGTTGTCTGCTTTACAGAAAACTAGTACTTGGGAGTTGGTTCATTTGCTTGCTGGTAAGAATCTTGTTGGTTGCAAATGGATTAACAAAGTCAAGACTCATTCTGATAGTTCTCTTGAGCGCTACAAAACTCGTCTGGTTGCTAAAGGTTTCTTACAGGAGTATGGTATTGATTATGAGGAGATCTTTGCTTCTGTTGCCAAAATGACTACTGTCCGTACTTTGATCTCTGTCGCTGCTGTTTGTTCTTGGCCTCTTTATCAAATGGATATTAAGAATGCTTTTCTTAATGGCCATCTCACTGAGGAGGTTTACATGCGTTCTCCTCCTAGCCTTCCCCATTACTCTGGACAGGTTTGTCGCCTTCAACGTGCTCTGTATGATCTGAAGCAGTCTTCTCATGCTTGGTATGATCGCTTTCAGACTGCTATTACTAAGCTTGGGTTTCATCCTTGTGCCTAGGACTCTGCTTTATTTCTTCTCCATACCTCTACTGGATTTGTTGCGTTATTACTGTATGTGGATGATATGATTATCACTGGTTCTAATTCTTCTGCTATATTTGAGGTCAAACAGCATCTTTTCCGCACTTTTGAAATGAAGAATCTGGGCCTAATGCGGTATTTTCTTAGCATTGAGGTAGCTTCTTCTCCCAAAGGCTACTTTCTCTCTCAGGCTAAGTATGCTAATGAGGTTATTCATCGTGCCGGTTTTCTGATGGTGTTCTTCGGGATGATCCTACTCTATATCGAAAGCTCGTGAGTTTCTTAGTCTATCTGACGGTTATTCATCCTGATCTTGCCTATGTTGTTCATGTGGTTAACCAGTTTGTCTCTGCTCCTCGCTCCACACATTAGGCTGCCTTGGTTCGGATTCTTCGCTATCTCCGAGGTACTATCTTTCAGGGTTTACTATTGCCCTCTACTTTCTCTCTGGACTTGGTGGCCTATGTTGATTCTGATTGGGCTGGTGATGTTACTGATCGCAAGTCCATGTCTAGTTTCTGTATGTTTCTTAGTGATTCCTTGATCTCTTGGAAAAGCAAGAAACAAACTGTTGTTGCTCGCTCTACTGTTGAAGCTAAGTATCGTGTTATGGCTCATACTACTGCTGAAGTTATCTGGCTCTATTGTCTTCTTTCTGACTTGGGCGTCCCTCAGTCTTCCCTGACCTCCCTTTAGTGCGACAACCACAGTGCCATTCAGATTGCAGATAACACTATCTTCCATGAGCGAACCAAGCACATTGAGATTGATTGTCACTTTGTTCGTCAGCATCTGCAATCTGGCTCTATCTCGCTTCTTTTCGTCTCTTCGGCTCTACAGCTTGCTGACTTTTTTTACCAAAACTCACACCACTGCTCGGTTTCGGTTTCTTCTTGGCAAACTCTCAGTGTTTTCTGCCCAAACACCTTGAGTTTGAGCGGGGGTGTGAGAATAATATTAGTATAGTATATATTATGTGAATATTGTTTCCCATTTAGGATTGGTTTAGGTTTATTCTTATTTCCTATTTAGGATTAGTGTTCTATATCAGTGATGTATTTGTTTAGGATTAGGGTTTAGTGTTCTATATAAGTGATGTATTCTTTGTTCAGTAAATACAATTTGAATATACAGAAATTCTTCAGAATTCTTACACGCATCCCACTAATGCCTGCACAAATCCAACATTCATCTCACCATATTTATTTACTTAAATACAATTATAGGTGGTGCAATTACTCTTCAAATTCTAGGGTTTCCTCAAGTGGGGTCTCTGAATTTTGAGTGCAAAATCTTCCCTACATTTCTAGCATTCTATGTTGTTCCTCAACTTTAGACAGTTTCTCAAGTGAGTCATTGAATTTTGTTTAAAATCCTTCTGTACAGCTCTATGTAATACAAGAATTTCTCAAAAATCAGGATTTTTAGAGCATCCACAGTGGGCTGCAAAAGGAGCTGCCATTGCCAGCAAAAACTCCCCCAGACAAAAAATAATATTTTTAACAAAATTCACCAAAAAAATAAATAAATAACAAACTAAAAACAACAATAATCAAGCAATTTCAAACAAATTTCAAGCAAATCTCAAACATATTTCGAGCAATCTCAACTAATCTCAAGCAATTCTCCATCATGAGAAACAATTTCATAAAAATAAAGACCTAAATTTGAAGATGCGTGATGGATTTTCAACAATCTGAAGCTTCATCTTGTTCATCTGCTTGCTTCATCTTAGGGTTCGGGTAGGGAGATTCGGCTTTATCTGCTTCGATTTAGGGTTTGCTTGTGCTTCATCTTCATATTCTCCATCAGAAAGACGATTTGAAGGAGTCGATTTCAAGGGCTTCGGATTTCTTGCTTTCTCTTGAAGAACTTGTGTTTTATCTTGAGCTCGGGTAGAGTCTCGAATTAGGGCCCAATTCTTATCTCATATTGAAAAATCTAGAAATCCCCTAGATGTTGATTTGTAATTATGTATCAATTTTAAGCGGTAAACAACAATCCCAATCAAACAATCAAGACAAATCGACACAACGATTTTACGCGGAAAAACCATAATTGGACACCTTCAATTGTAATAAAAAACCACGGGCAAAAGTCACAAAACAATCCACTAAAAAGACATAAAGGAATTACACAGGTATACTCTCAATTACCTAACGAATCCATGCCCGAATTGCACCAACCCCTATGTGCCTCTTCCAACCTGGTCTTCACCTCGGAATTGTCTTGACGATGAGCCACTCCAGAATCCACCAAAGCTTCAGGCTCGAATTCTTCAGAATCCACCGAAGAACAACTCTATCTTTTGTGTAGAACAAACAAATAATCCTTTGATGTATACTCTTTAAATCATGAATTGAATACTCAATCAAAACATCAAAAAAAACTAGCAGAATATCCCCAGATATAAACCCTAGAACCAAGAAGAAGATCTGGAGAAGTAATCCTAGATTTGGAGCAACTTGCGAATTTATAGAATCTAAAATCGCGAGGTCCGCTCGAGCGTGGGAATTGACACTCGAGCGGGGACACTATATAAAGTGTTCCAAACCAGGATGCACGCTCGAGCGGAAATTTCGACGCTTGAGCGTAAAAACACGGATCACAGTATTTTTGCAGACTCACCAAACTTCTGGAACTCAGCATTCTCCGCTCGAGCGGGGGTATACTCTTTAAACCACGAGTTGAATACTCAATCAAAACATCAAAGAAAACTAGCAAAAAAATCCCCAGATATAAACCCTAGAACCCAAGAAGAAGATCTGGAGAAGTAATCCTAGATTTGGAGCAACTTGCGAATTTATAGAACCTGAAATCGCGAGGTTTGCTCGAGCGTGGGAATGGACGCTTGAGCGGGGACACTATATGAAGTGTTCCGCACTAGGGTGTACGCTCGAGCGGAAATTTCGACGCTTGAGCGTGAAAACACAGATCACAGTATTTTTGCAGACTCACCAAACTTCTGGAACTCAGCATTCTCCGCTCGAGCGGGGGAATGGACGCTCGAGTGGGGAGGCAACTTTGAATGCATTTTTGCATTTTGCTTCGAGGGCGCTGCCCCTCGACCCCGCGAACTGACCGGGCAGCTCGACCCCCGTCATAAATAGTGTAGTGGCAATCTTGAAAGCATTAACATCACAAACTTCTCTGCAAGGTACAATTCGGGTTGGATTCGCATCTAAAAACTCATAGCCTCACTGAAATAAAAAGTGCGAAAATAGATACAACTGAAAGGAGTTTTGTCAACCGGGATTGCCAAGAATAAAAACCTAACACATATCATTTGCATCCTTAACTAATTTTCTTCTTAGTCATATATATAGGGTTCGAGCTGATGGATCAACGACGGCCCCTTTAAGTTGTAACCTAACTTTATTAACATACTAACATTCTATTTTTGATTAAAAAAAAATTAAAAATAAATAAATAAATAAAAATAGGACACTCAGTTCATAAATTCATATTTGGATTTTGTTTGGCCAAAGATTTAGACGCTAAAATACTTTACCCATAAACATAAGCTTAGGCAAAGTGACCAAATTACCCATCTATATATATATGGTGTACACAGTGGAAACCAAACCCTAAACCAAACCTCCTATCTCTATTCTCTCTCATCTTCTTCATTTTCCACTGTCGTCCCTCTCGCTCTATAGATTATCTTTGATCACCGGACTCAATGGTCGCGGCAGACTCTCACTCATCCAGTTCCCAACACGACTTATGCAGTGCCGCGTTGATCACGTTACCTGAATGGTTTTCTCATCGGAATCAATGGCACCGCCACGGCCAAGCTTGATGTCTCCATCATCGATAGCAGGAGCTGGTGGTCTCTCTCTAAAACCTAGCTTACTTCACCACCGATCTCCACTGCCATTCATTACGGCGACTTCTGATCTCCGCCGCTTCAGATCTCTAATCTCCAAATTTGGATCTGTGTGTGTGTGTGTTCTGAAATGGATTCACCGGAATGTCACAATCCTCTCTCTCTCTCTCTCTCTCTCTCTCTCTCGACAAAACCCTAGCCTACTTCACCACCGATTGCCACCGACATTCATTACGGTGACTTCTAATCTTCGCCGCTTTAGATCTCTGATCTCCAAATTTGGATCTCTCTCTCTCTCTCTTTCTTGATTTTCTAAAATGTGTTTTCGAGATTTTTTGATTTTTTAGATTTTCCATGTTTGAACACAGTTATTCGATTTTCCAAATTCGAACACAGTTCTTCATGGAGAGAGTGAGCTTCAATTCGAATGAGGATCTCATGCTCAACTTCACTCATTTGATCTGTTTCGTGAACTTGAATGGTCTCATGGCGAAGAATATTAATATTTTTGCTGTTTTTATATATTGTTTCTAATTTGAGACTCATGAAATGATAAAGTTGTTTTGTTCTTGAAAACTCTCTGCTTAGCAACATGGGCTCCAAATTGTTGATGTTGATTGCTTGGTTTATTGGTTTGAACCATGGGTTCCAAACTGAGCAAGTACACAGATCTGAACTGCCTTAACACATATTTGTTTGTGTTGGATTTAAATAGATAAAAAAAATTTTGAACAAACCACTCTATCCTCTCTCCAAAAGGCTCATATTTGTTTAGAGATCTAAAGCAGCAGAGATCAGAAGTCGCCATAATGAATGGCAGTGCTGCAGCGGTGGTGAAGTAGGCTAGGATTTTAACGAGAGAGAGAGAGAGGGGACTGTGACATTTCAGTGAATCCACTTTGGAATAGAGAGAGAGACCAGTAGCTTTGCCGCCACCGACAATGGAGACATCGAGCTCGGACATGGTGGTGCCATTGATTCCGACAAGAAAACCATTCCGGCAACGTGATCAACGTGGCAGTGCATTATGTTGGGAGTTAGATGAATGGGAGTCCGCTGCGGCCAATGAGTCTGGTGATCGAAGATAATCTACAAAGAGAGAGGAACGTCAATGGAAAATATGGGTATTTTGCTCACTTTGCCTAAGCTTGTCTTTATGGGCAAAGTATTTTAGCTCCTATATCTTTCACTACAAGAAATTAGTGCTTTAGGGACTAATATTTAGGGACCAAGTAAATTTGGTCCCTAAAAATAATTTTTTACAGACAAATTCAAATTTGCAGTAAGAATGCAAAAATAGTTGTTAGTATTATCACTTTTGCACTTGGATGCTAAGTTTAATATTCCCATATTTTTTTGAGACAAATTAATTTAGTAATAACTATACAATTGACACTTTTAGAGACTAAATATTTGTCATTAACATTTAGGGACCAAATATTTCTACTCTCTTTCCCTATTAAAAAGTCGGGCGGCAATAGAACAGAACACACACACATACAAAAAGTCGAGCCTCTCTCTGTTCAACCCTAATTTCCCAAATTCACTCTGTCTAGGACTCTAGCTTCAATCGATCTGAGATCTGCAGCTTTAATCGATCTCATTTTCAGGATTGATCTAGGACTCCTCTTGCCCTAACTTGCCATGATCGATCTCATTTTCATGGCTCCAATGCAAACCTGAGTTCTTTGGCTTCAATTTGAAGGTAAATCAACGATTTTCATGGCTGCTAAGATCTTCATCTTCACGCACACACATTCTTATATATATATATAGTAGATATCTATAAATTTTTTGAGATCTTCTATCGCTTTTTCTGAGCTTCACACACACATGTATGTATATATATATATATACATATATATACACAGATTCTAATTCTGAGATCTTCTATCATTTATTCTTCATCTTTTTTTTTTTCCAGATATATACAAGTTTGAGGAAATCGATTTGGTTTTTATAGAGATCATAACCTCTCTCTCTCTCTCTCTTTCTCTCTCTCTCTCTTCACATACACAGCATATATGCATGTACATATCTATCTCTATATATACTCCTCTGCATTCATCTGTATTCATTCAATTCTCATTCTGTTCTTCGAATTCATCGTTGCATTGATGAGTTGTTGATGAATTTTTATTTTTTTCTTTTCCTTAAATATGGAACAATTTTTGGTTGATTCATGCGTGAGTCACATCACAGATGAATTTCTCTGTTTTTTAATAACATCCATGTTTGAATCTATGATCATTTTGGTGTTTGATGTTTATTTTTCTCGTTCTAGTTCAATTTTCTGATTATTTGATTTTTTTTTTTTTTAATGGGGAGGCTTTGGGCTCTTTTTTTTTTTTTTTTTTTTTTTCCAATTTTGTGAACCACGAGAGTCTTTCTAAATGATACTAATGGATTCATTGCACATGGCCAAACCATTTTAGTTTGAGTGAGCCAAATAATATATTTGAAAAGTTTGGTGAAATTAGAGAACAATGGACCTATTACTTTAAAAAAAAAAATTAAAAAAATAAAAAATCACCTTAGATTAAGGATACTGGAATTTAAGGATAATGTCTTTGTTCACTTTGTAATAGGGATAGGGCTTTCGGGATGGATAGGAGTTGGATGCAACTTCATAGGAGTTTTGTTGAATTTTTCCTGTACCTGTGTTATAGATAGTATTTTATTAATCACCTTAGATTAAAGAGTTTCCTTCCAAATGTTATCTAAATTGAATTGATTGAAGTAATCCTTTTGAGATGTACAATGATTATTGAAGAAGATCGATCTTAGAAAACTTAATGTGTGGTGAGTGTTATTTATGGTGATTTGGATAAGTGGACCGCTACTAGTTTTTGCTGGTTTATTGTTTCTCATTTCTGGCCCATATCAACTAAAAAATTTATTGTTCTTTTTATGTGTTCGGTAATTGTATATTTTTTATATCAATCTCAATTGATCATGTACTGATTTGATTGTTGTTTTAGTTTGATAAATGATTTGTTAAGCCTCGAGGAGATTACATAGAGCTTCACAAGAGACATGGCTATCGCCCTGATCACTTCGAGCACAAACGCAAGAAAGAGGCTCGCGAGGTTCATACGCGATCTCAGATTGCTCAGAAGGTTCAATTTCTCTACTTTTCTCTCTTCTCATTTATATATTTATGGAATTTTGTGTGGAAGTTCCAATTTTGTGCTTCAATTTGAATTGAGCAGTCTTTGGGTATCAAGGGTAAGATGTTTGCTAAGAAACACTATGCTGAAAATGCCCAAATGAAGAAAACGTGAGTGTCATTCTTACATTTACATTGGTTTTCATTTTATTTGAATAATTCTATACTCGTGAATCCTGACTTTGAATATTTTTGATAGATGAATGTGTAACTATTGGTTCATGCTCCCTCTTCTCTCAACATGCCTTTGCATTTTTTGCAAAAATTTGATGTGTAATCTTATATCTGTTGCTTATGCTAATTGCCAACTACTTAAGACTAGCATGTCCTGTTTGATGCGCTGCAGCATATTCTCTATACGAAGAAAGAGTTGTTCATTTATGATGTTGGCTACATAATAATGATATAACCACAAGTTGACTAGCATAGGTCGTGTCCCCTACTTAATTGAGGAAAGCTACACAGCTTCAATATTTTGTGAGATTTGTAGTAATGAACAACTCTGTTTAAGTAGAACTATCAACTCTGTTTTTAAGTGTATGAAACTTGTGGCCTAGTATGTGGACTTTCAGAAATTTATTGCGCCTTAATTGGTTCCTTGCCATTTGGACGAGACTTTTTAAAATATGAACATGTTTTCTATTTTGTAAACATTTCCATGGTACTTTTATGCTATATCCTTATATGTAAAATTTAAATTCAGGTTATTCATTTTTTGTGTATTTTATCTTCTTCATGAGTAATTTTAATTGTTGTACACTATTTGTTTTTAAAACATCTAAAGAACCCACTTATCTGTCTAAGTTGCATTAATTATTGTCTTAAAAGGCATACCTTCTCATCCATTCTTGGGTGTTCCTTTCAAATTTGTTTGAGAGACTTTTGTGCATTGGAGTTGTTTGGAGCCTTTTATGTACGTACAAGGTAATTAATGGTTCCTATCTCCTGGTTAGTTATTTGTTCTTTTTCTATTATTCAAGCAATTACACATGGGCATTGAATTCATTTCTAAACTTTTACTAAATTTCAGTGACTAGTGTTTAACTTTCGGAACTGCTACAGAATGCCAGAACCTAGTCACTGAGATGCTTGGCACCACAGATGAAAATGAGCCCTTTCAGGTTAGTCAATTTGCAATCCTAGAATATTTTCAAACTTGTGGACACATTTACTAGGAGTTCCTTGAAATCCAAGAAAAAGGAATAAAATGAACTATATAATTTTACACAAACTAAGTTAAATGTGAGGCATTTGGCATTACAGCCATTTATGGTGCATATATATTAGAAGTAAAAATATTAATAATATGATACATGAGTGGGGTGACAAACACAAAAACTGCTTTGGATGGGGAAACTATAGCCTCAACATTCCTGATCTTGTCACTGCTGCTCACAGAAGTAGCTAGAGATCCTTATCCTTGAATGTTGTCTAGATATTTTAGAGTAGAAAAAATTAGGTTACTGTAAAAAAAAGAAGAAAAAAAAAAAGAAAAAAAGTAGGAGGTTCATGGGTTTAGCTTCATCTTAAGCTAATGATCTAGGCTCCCTAAACTTGAAGATTCAACAATTAGTATGAGGCTGTGTATTTTAAACAATTTGACAATGTATTTGTCAAAACTACTATTCTGGTTGAAGCATTGGACAAAATATGATTTCAAAATTAGTAATGAGGTTGTGTATTTTTGTCCATAATATGGGAATTCTAAGATGGCATTGTAGGATACTACGATCAGGTAATATAGAATATGCAGAAAATATCTTATACATATGGTTTTTTGTTTTTCTTTTATTCCATGTCACTCATAGGGGCTTCTCTGTCGTAGATTTGCACATTTACTAGTAAATTTATATTTTGCAGTTACAAATTTATTTATAGATGTTTAGTGATGCTTTGTTGTGCTTGAAGTTAAGGGGAATAGGTTAATGATATATTCTGCATATTTAATTGTGAATCTCTGCACTATACTGATTGAATCTTTGCACCATACTGATTGAACTTCGGCATTTCATTTTTCTTATTCTTTCTAACAGAATCTCAGGGATATGGCAATGACCAAGTTAGGTGAAGGCTGTCACTTGCTCAAGGATATAGTGCTGTCACACTGCCGAGATCTCGGTCTAACCCATCTTGTTAACAAATGCACCATGCTCGAATCCTGCCACATGGTTTATTGTCCAGGCATTAACTGTGATTTCTAATTGTATCGGGATAAAGAAGATCCTGGTTGAGAAGTGGAAGGTTAGCCAGAGGACCAAACGGAGGGCAGGTTCCATCATCTCTCCCCTACCTCTATGTTGGCCTTTAGACCCCAAATCACTTTGAAGTGATAGCTTGTAATCAAGTTTGGGAATTGGACCTATTTTGAGTTTTTAACTCGTATAAGGAACAACTATGTTGAAGTGAATTTGGAAACTTCGAGTTTTAATTTTTGCAAAATTCTACTTTCTACTCAGTACGGTTTGGGAATCGCCTTTGATGTGTGGATGTCAAATATAAATTTTTTTTTTTTAAATGATTGAATGGCCTTTAATTTTTGTGTTTTTTTAGCTATGAAATTAAATGGGTACAAAATATTTCCCAAACTGACTTTTTGCGACGAAAATGTGTGGTGGAAAAAGTCATTTGTCCTTTAGCGACCAAATATAATTGTGACTGAAGTACCATTATTTTGTTTTTTGCAACCAAATTGGGACATTTTGTGACAAAATATTAGTGACCAAATGTTTAGTTCTGCAAAATCAAACATTTTGTTACGATATAAATTTCATTGCCATTTGCCTTTTTCAACGACAATTTTGAAATTTTGTCGCTAAAAGTCAATTTTGACTTTTTTGGACGCACTTTTAGCAACGTTTTTGGTGACCAATTTATTTTTGTCACTAAAAGCATTTTAGAAACCAAAATAATAGTTTCAGGGACCAAAATAATTAATCGCGAAAAGTCTTATATGTTGTAGTGTTTGGCCAAACAAAATCCAAATTTGAATTTATGAACCAAGTGCCCTATTTTTATTTTTTTTTAACATCAAAAATAGAATGTTAGTATGTTAGTACCGTCAAGTTACAACTTAAAGAGGTCGCTGCTAATCCATCAACTTGAATCCTATATATGCAGATGGTATGAGGTATCTATAATAGAATTGGGCCCTAATTCAAGACTCTACCAGTGCTCAAGAGAGAACACAATTTCTTCAAGAGAAAGCGAGAAACCCGAAACCCTTGAAATCGACTCCTTCAAATCGTCTTTCTGATGGAGAACACAAAGACGAAGCACAAACCCTAAGTCGAAACAGATGAAGCTGAAACCCCCCTAAACCCCACACACGAACCCTAAGAGTAAGCAAGCAAATGAATAAGATGAAGCTTCAGATTGCTGAAAATTAATCACGTATCTTCAAATCCAGGTCTTTATTTTTATGAAATCATTTTTCTCATGATAGAGAATTACTTCAAATTGCTTGAGATTAGTTGAGATTGCCCGAAATTTGTTTGAGATTTGTTTGAAATCTATTTAGACTTGTTAAATTATTGTTGTTTTTGGTTTGTTTGTTATTTTTATTTTTTATTTTTTTTGGGTGAATTTTGTTAAAAATATTAGCAATGGCAGCTCCTTTGGCAGCCCACTGTGGATGCTCTAAAAACCATGATTTTTGAAGAACTCTTGTACTACATAGAGCTATACAGAAAGATTGTAAACAAAATTCAATGACCCACTTGAGAAACCATCAAAAGTTGAGGAACAACACAGAACGCTAGAACTGTAGGGAAGATTTTGCACTCAAAATTCAGAGACCCCACTTGAGGAAACCCTAAAATTTGAAGAGTAATTGCACCACCTATAATTGTATTTAAATAAGAAAATATGGTGAGATGGATTTGTGCAAGCACTAGTGGGATGTGTCGGTGCTTTTTAAAGATTGTAAATTTTTATCCCCCATTTGTGATTTACTGGCTTTGCTTTGCTTTGATATGATTGAATAATGTAATTTGATGGCTTAGCGTCTATTTTGTTCGCTAGAGCGAATTGTTTACTGTAACTTCATATATGGTTTTTCATGTCCTATTGTCATCCGGAGAATTTTAAAAATTTTGACTCTATATTAAATTTAGTTGTCACTATAGATTGCAGCATTTGTTGTTATTGCCGCTATTCTAGAATGAAATATAGGTCTGTTTCAATTCGGATAGCTTGGATTTTCATCTTGGCTGAATAGATCAAGATCACATTTTATTACAAGACAATTTATAATGTCCTAAAAAAAGGTACATCTTATCTTTGTTTGGCCTTGTTTTCAATGTGTTTTGTGAGGGGGAAAAAAAATAATTTGTTGAAAAATTGAGAAAAATAAAACAATAATTATTTTCATATAGTTTGCTATGTTTTAGGGGAAAATATATTTTAGTTATTTATGTTCATCAAACTTTGGGCAACCAAAAAATAACATGTAAACAAGATAAGTATGGCTGAGATGAGAATGCTAAGGTGGATGTGTGGCAAAATTAGACTAGACTAGACAAGACAAACTTAAGAATGAGTATATTCGGAAATGGGTAGGCGAAGATAAGTTGAAAGAAAATCGATTGAGATGGTTTGGTCATATTCAATGGAGACCAGGTAGCAATGAACATATGCGATGCTGTAACGGTAGATGAAAGTGTTAGGGGATGGAGTAAGCCTAGATTAAGGTTGGCTAGTATTATATATAGAGATATAGATCTACTTAATTTGACTAATAAACCCGCCTTTAATAAACCCGCATGGAGAAGACATATTTATGTAATCCACCCCATTTGATTAAGGGTTGGGTTGGTTTGGTTTGGTTTATGTTCATTAAACTAGTTTTTATTAAAACAAATAAATAAATAAAAACAGAAAATGTATAACTGCACCGAATAATCAGCCAAAATTAGTATTAAAAAAAAGAAGAAGCAGAAATTAGTTAAGTAATGGAGAAAAGGCGGTTGTTACGAGATCTGTCAATAATACCTTGGTAAACCTGAAGAAAAATGAACCTCGATTCGATTGAACAAATCTTCAGAAATTGAAAGAACTATACAAGATCACGAACAAACCAGTTGATGGAACGAGACGATCTCGCCAGCGTTCTGCTTCTTCTCCTCGACGAAGCGGCTCCAGAGTTTGTATGGGTTCGACTTATCGAGTAAGTTTTGGTAGAGCTGCGTCACGGCGAAGGTCCACCGTGACACGGCGGCCGCCGGAGACGAAGACGAGAGATTGGAAATTGGCGATTGCTGTTGGCGTTGGGGTGGGGCGGAGCTGGATCATTCATATCATCAACAGCGGACGTGGTGGATCACTGTGGGCTGCCAAAGGAGCTCATAACATTATTGTATTTGTCATAGGGGGTGTTTGGTAAACTTAAATCAACTTTGGGCTTAAATTAGGTTATATTGGTGTGTTTGGTACAACTTATAAGGCACAGATTATGGGGGTTGTTTGAGGTGTCTTAAATAAGTACATTTTTTATCTTTTTGAACTAAAAAATTAAGGAAACAAATATGGATGTTTGGGTTAACTTTTTGTCTTTTTACATACGAAAAAATGTGTAATAAAAAATTGTATAAAAAAAGTATATAGTGGAAGAAAATTAATAGATTGTACGACTCTCCTGCGTGTCTCCACAAAAATAATTGTCTCATTCGGGGCAAATAACTTTGGACAGTGATGGTCGGTCCGTGGGGGTCATCATGGATCCCATTTTAATAATCTGAACTGTCAATATGTACAACTCGTCGAGTATTATATGTCTGTAAAAAATCACATCGATCGGATATCGATAACTATATGATCGGATTAGTTTTGCTCAACAGTTAACGATCACACCATCCGTTTGTTTATACAAAACTGATTTGATCATATAGTTAACGATATCCGATCAATGTGATTTTTTATAGACATATATTAGTCGACGAGTTCTATATATTGACGGTTCAGATTATTAAAATGGGACCCAGGGTGGCCCCTACAAACCAACCATCACTGCCCAAAAGTTATTTGTCCCAAGAGAAGTGTATGATGGCCTGCTTAACAGCTGTGACGTTGTCAGTGAATTTATATTATAAAAATATATAAAATATTTGTTTAATATTTTTTATTTGTGAATAGTAATACCTTTTTTACTTTTTGTATTACTTTTTGGCATTTTGGATTATATTTGACTTGCCAAACTTGGCCTATGGCTTAATTTAAGCCATTTTCAGCTTAAATGTAAAAGTTGCTCCAAGGGTGCTTAATTTTACAGCTTAAGCGCGCAGTTGTTTTTGGAGGGGCAAAATGACTTAAAAGCCCCTCCAAAACTTAAGGAATAACGAAAATGCCACTATATAACCATACTTCTTCGTCTCATACCTAACTCTTCTCTTCTCCTCTCCTCTCAAACGGCGCTCTCCTCTTCTTCTCTCCTCTCGTTGCCGATTGCTCCACACATCGAAATCGCTGGCGATCGTCCCTATTTTCCGTTGATCTCCACCAAAAAGTAAGATTTGAAACCCTAAACCCTATGTTTTGTTATATATAGATATACATATATCAGATATACACATCGATTTAGGATTTTTTTGGTTTTTCGTTGCTCCGTGTTTAAATCTGTAGACACCCCATTTTTGACCGACCTTAAGACTCAAACGTCACCGATTGAGCGCTCGGTGATATTGCATATTGTGCTCGTTCAGAAGTTTCAGAGTCCCGACTGCAAGCCTTGCCTCCGAACTTCCGGACTCTTTCGTGTCTTGCCTCGGTTTGCGAACCAAGCTCTGTTTTCTATGTTTTCTCTTCCCGAAGGGAGAGACAGGTCTCGTAGATCATCTCTCAGTGGCCGTAGGCTACGTTTCGTGATCGTAGGCCATTTTTCCCATTTTGGAGCCCGGTTTCCAATTTTTCGGAGCCGTTGGCTGTGTGCCTCGGTTCGGGACCGCTTAACCACCTTCGTTTGCTCCGGTTTTTGGCATACACCTTACTTCCTCACTTTTGAGGAACACTGTGGCCCGAGAGACCAACTTCGTGGTCAAACGCCACCTCCGGTGCTTAACGGCCCATTTTCGGGGCCCCGGGCCGCGTGTTTCGGTCCCCAAACCTCCGTTTTGGTTCATTTTTGGTAGAGACCTTATTTTCATAGTTAGGAAGCTTGTAGGAGGATGGGAGGCCAGCAATTGTTCTGAAAAGCCAGCTTTATTTCTTCATCGCTCTCCAACGCCCGTTTTCCTCACTTGAAAGCCAATGTTGACCACCTCAGGGCCACTTTCTTGAACCCTAAACCCCATATTTGTATTGTACACACCTGGGAGGCTACCAATAGTTGGTGGGCGACCAGTAATTGTGCTTGACCCTCTTGAACCCCTCTAAAAAATGATCTTTTCTCTCTCCTGGTTCACATTTTCAGGGTTTCAACCACATAGCTGTGTTGTGCACACATGGGAGGCCACCAATATGGGGTGGCCGGCCACTAATTCTCATTGACCCTTTTGACCCCTGGGCGGCCGGCCAGGGGAGGTGGCCGGCCGGCCACCTGAACCCTCTGAACCTGGCCGGCCATGACCCCCACACCTTGTTCCTTCCAACTGCACCCTCTGTTTTCTCCCAGATCCTGTATCCGAAGGGGGGTCTTTTGGAGGGGAAATTTGAATTTCATTTTCCCCCCTTTTCTCCTCTCCTCTCCTCTATAAAACCAGCCCCTCAGCTCCTTGTTTGAGGGTTACAAAAATTTGCTTGGAGCTCTTGCATTAAATCTCCCTCTCTCTCTATTCCAACCCTCAAAACATCCTTAGTCCTACACCAATTACCCTACACCTCATAGCACAAGGCCTCCATCCCTTATTCCAGCAACTTGAGGCTGCTTTCCAGAGGTGAAGAGCTCCCAAAATTGGTCCAAGAGCTGCTGGTCCATTGGTCTACAAGGGTGAGTCCCATTTTCCCTCTTTCTTACCTTGTTTTGCTTTCTATCTAAGCCATAATTGCTAGCATTTTTGGGCTCCGACCCAAACTGTAAATAGTCATATTTTGAGCCCCTTTTCATGTTTGATCAAGGACCTCTTACTGTTTGAGGTCTCCTACTACCACTTGCCTCTTTATCTCTCTTTTAGGCCTTTTTTTTGCATAGTATTTTAGGCCTATTTGTGATTCATTTTGGACTTGGTCATAAACTATAAAATAACTTGTTTTGAGCCCCTCTTCAACATTGTTGAAGGGTTCTCCTCTGTTTGAGGGCAGAAGCTATCACTTGCCTCTTTAACTCTCTTTTAGGCCAATTTTCACATAATATTTTAGGCTTATTTGTGAGCATTTCTGGGCCTCGAGCCAAACTGTAAAATATCTTGTTTTGAGTCTCTCTTCAACTTTGTTGAAGGGCTCTCCCCTGTTTGAGGCCTCCTATTACCACTTTTCTCTTTACCCCTCTTTTAGGCCTTTTCTTGCATGATAGTTTGGCCTTATTTGTGATTATTTTCGTGGCTTTATATAAACTCTAAAGTGCCTTATTTTGAGCCCTTCTTCAACTTTGTTGAAGGGC